ATTCCCGGGCACAGCCCCCGTCCTCTCTTGGTCCCGCTGGGCGGGGGCGGTGCAGGAACCCTCCTCCTCGGCCTCGCTCCCTTCCTCACAGTTCACGGCTTCATCCTCACTCTCCTCCTCCTCCGAGGATGACGATGACCCGGCCTGCACCACCTTGGACTTCAGGTAATCCATGTCCGACAGCTCCTTCTGCGCCGCTGCCTTGGGTTCAGGGCCGTCACCCTCCTCTGGAAAGACAGGGAGGCTGCGAGTCAGCGATGGCTGTGAGCAAACCAGAAGGCTGGGAAGGCAGACAGCGTGGCCATGTCACTGGTGGGGGTGGAAGGTGCCAAGCCCACAGTGACCGGGGCGCTGCACCAGGCAGCCCCAGTCCCAGTCAGTCCTTGGGGAAATAACGTCAAATGGGGAGAAGCTGATGGAGTTTTGATAGTTTCTGGTTGTACCACCCTCGCCAATCCATTCTTCCATCTGCAGCCAGCACGATCTTTTGGAGAAGATGGACAGGACTGACTCCTTGGTTAAAACCCTCTGGGGGTTCCCAGACACTCTCAGGATGAAACCTAAACTCCCCATCAGGCCCCATGAGCTCACCAGCTTCTCCTCCAGCTCCCACGGCTCCAGCTGCCCCAAGCACGTGGAGCTCCTGCACCTCCCTCTCCGCTGCACCTGTGCCAGGCTGTTCCCTCTGCCCCCAACTCCCTCTCCCCTCCCCCTCCGTGTGCCACCAACTCTGAGGGAGTCTGGATCCCAGCTCTGCTCAGGAACTACCCACCATAAAATTCATATTATATTCATTCTCTCGCCTTTGAAACAAAGTTGGTTCCTGCCCCTCGACCGCCGTTACCATCCTGGACCAGGCTTGCTCACGTGCCGTAGGGGCCCCTCTACGACACCATGAGCCCTGTCTGAGGACAAACACTCACTCCCTCACCTCCTTCAGGCCTTGGCTCAAGGGCCACCTCCTCAGAGTCCTTCCCCAGTGACTCCCCTGGGCCCCCTTTCCTGCTTTCTCTCTGTGGCATCATGTTCACGTCATACACTAAAGAGCACACCGATTTCTTTATTGTTTCTCTGCTCACTGCTGTATCCCCAAAGCCTGAAGTAGCGCCTGGCATACAGTAGGTGCCCAATAAATATAAGTGACTGACTGAATGAATAAGGGGCCAGGCCAGGTCAAGGCCGATAACCACCGCTCTGCAGGGCAGTGTCCAACGCACCATCTCCCGCGTCTGGCACCGAGGGGCCCCAGGTCACACGCACCTGGGCAGGGGGCACCCCCTTACCTCCCAGGTCCTCCATGGCCCCTTCCTCCTCACTCTCCTGCCCCGAGTCAGAGTCGAAGTTCAGATAGTCATTGGCTGGCTTGCTCTTCCCTTTCAAGGGCTCAGCATCCAGGGCATCGTTCGCCCAGATGGCCACCTGCGTCCGCTTTTGGTGAACCGACAGGAACTCCCGGAACTCGTCATCCTCCTTCAGCTGGGGAGGCGGGAAGAAGGGAGGACAGGCAGATGAGGCTCAGGGAGGGCCCACCCTTCCCAGCCTCGGGAGGGTAAGAGCATCCTGCAAGGTCATTACTTCCGGTCTCAGGGACCCCTGGGGTCAGCTGGGTCAGTCCTGGGGAGGGCAGCATCAGACAGGAAGACAAAGGAGCCGCCGAGACACGGCGAGGGGAGATGAGAGGCAGGGCTCCGGCTTCCGGGCCTGCCTGCCACAGCCCCCCCGGCCCGGCCTCCCCCGGTCACCAGGACAGACTCACCTTCTCCAGGTCACCTGCTACCTTTTCCTTTCCGTCATCCTGGAAACAGAAGGCACAGGCGGGGAGGGTCACAGAGGAAAGGAGACAGAACCCACTGCCCCGAGAAAGCCACCTTAGGGAACCATCCTAGAGGGATTGCCAGCTCCCTCCCACTCCCACTGCCCCGCCCTCCCAGCGGTGACCGCTGGCCGCCCTGCTGACATGGGAGTGGCCCACCACGCACTTTCTTAGTTTCCGGGAGAACGGAGGCTTTGTCTTTCGGAGGAGGCTTGGACTGGCTTGGTTTCTGGGCATGTTTGCTCCAAGCCCGGGGCTTTGTGGGGTCCCCAAACGATTTGCAGAACTCCACCTGCGAGGGACAGAGAGGGTGATGATGACACCCACCCCCATGCCCGGCAGGGATGCTGTGCTCCAACGCCTGGGAGCCTGGCCTCTTTAAAAAGGCAACTGCTGGTGACTGGCCGAGACGGTTAACGAAAGTGACATCCTCCCCTCGCTGCGCCTTTCTCCTCCTTCACGTGGCCGTTACAGTTGTCAGCATTTATAGAGAAACCCTGCTGCCTTAGTGCTTCCCAAGCGTGAATACACCGAGCGTCCCCACTTCTCAGATCAGGCAACTGAGGCACAGAGAGGTTGAGTAACTTGCCCTGGGCCACCAAGGTAGCAGGTGAACAAGCAAGCAGAGGCCAGGAGTCAGGGAGTCTGGATCCCGGGCTCTTCGCCATCTGCTCCAGAGGTAGCTGCGAGGATGACACAGAGCCCAGCACAAGGCTCTGCTAACACCTGTCAGTATTACGGTCATGAGTGTGGAGAGAGCAACTCCAGGATGACGGGAAAAGCGGGGTGACCACCCTGGAGCCTGGCAGGGTGCTGAGTGGTAAGCCTGAGCTGACACGCCTCTTGGGGTCTAAACACCCTCAGCAGTCTCGTGATGACCTTCACGAGAGCTGGTCCTGCTGGGAGCTGCAGTGGGCACTTTTCCCCGCAGTCGAGGAGGATGCTGGCCGGCCAACCTCCACACTTTATTACAAAAGAGTTAACTGTGCATGGACTTTCAAAATAGTTTTGTTGTTTCCATAATAACGACCTGTGCCCGCTGTACAAAATTCAAATGACAGGGGAAAGTATGACGAACGTAAAAAAAAAGAAATTTTTTTTAACCCAATTCATCTCACCCAGAAAGAGAAATTAATATTTTGGCAGAAATCCTTCCACATGGTCCTCTGCACACACATCACACACGTGCAGAATGAGTGATGATTCTGTACCAGAGGGATCATATCACAATACTTGTTCAACATGTGTTTTTTTTCCTCAACAAAGTGTTACAGGTGTTTTACTAAGTCATTAAATGCACATGGGTGACATGGGTGGGACCTTCTCCTCCAGGAAGCTTTCCTGACTCCCCCTGGCCTGGGTGAGGACCTCCCCTGTTCTCCAACAGTCCCCATCAGTACTGATGACAAAGAATGAAAGCAACCCGTTTGACTGTCAGGCCCCTGTCTACCTGCAGGCTGCTGGCTCTGTGAGGACAGGGGCCGGGGTGCCACTTTTCTTTAAATTCCCAACACCTAAATTCCCAGAGGGCGTTCACTGAGCACCTGCCGTCGGGTGAGTGAAAACCCCCAGGAAGTTTAAGAGGACAGGGAGGAAGACCAAAGGCATCACAGGCTGGCAGGGGACGGGCTCTGGACTTGGGTGTGGGGTGAAGGAGCATGTGGCATCCCTTCCGACAGGCAGGGCCGAGGTCCAGCTGACTCACCGTGATCCGGGACGTGTCAATAAAGCTCCTGTTGAAATGGTTCAGCGCCGTCTGGGCCTCTTCCTCCGACTTGAAGCCGATGAAGCCAAACTTGCGGAACTTGCCGTCTTTGGTGAACTTGAGGCTGCAGTCCGTCAGCGTGCCGAAGGCGGTGAACAGCTGCCTGAACCGCTCCTCCTTCATCTAGGACGGGAGAGGGGGCGATGAGACAAGGGGATGGCTGGGCTGGGAACCCGAGGCCGCGGGATTCCCCAGAGGTGACCACAGACAGGGCGGGAGCCGCGGGTGCTCTGCGGTTGGACCTGGTTCCAGCTCAAACCCTTTACCCACTCCATCGATGAGTGGCTGCAATGAAATCGCCCCCAGCCCCCACGGGCTGCTCGGAAGACAAGGAGACCTGTTATACCAGGAGCCCAGCATCTGCCATGTAGCATCCCTAATAAACACGTCAGAATAAACGTGTGAATGAAGGAACATGGTAAACTACACAAGTGTTTGCTAACTGTACAGACTAATGGAAACTCCGCCCCCCCCGCCCCTCACCCCCAAAGATGTCCATGTCCTAATCCCTGGGACCTGCGAAGGTGTGACCTTACATAAACGTGGCCAAAGGGAGTCTGTAGGTGTTACCACATGAAGGGTTTTGAGATCATCCTGGATTATCCGCATGGACCCAATGTAATCACATGGGTCCCTGTAAGAGGGAGGCAGGAGGATCAGAGTTGGAAAAAGGATGTGATGATGGAAAAAGAGGACGGAAGACGCTATGGTTTTGAGGATTTAGCATGTAGCTACGAGCCAAGGAATGTAGGCAGCCTCCAGAAGCTGAAAAGGGCAAGGAAACTGATTCTCCCTTAGAGTCTCCAAAAGGAATGCAGCCCTGCTGACATCTTGATTTTAAGGTTTTTGACCCCCCGAAGTGTAAAATAATAAAAATTCATCTGGTTTAAGTCACTAAGTTTGTGGTAATTTATTGTAGGAGCGAGAGAAAAACTAACACAGTGATATTATTATTATTTAGTTAGAGAGCCCGGCGCCACCATCCTCACTGCAGCCAGGCCGCCCGCACCACTCAATAGAGTTTTCTAAGCAGATGTAGGGAGATTTGTGTGTAGTGAGGGGAGTGGGGTTGAAGGGACATGCAGAGCCCCACGAACAGCCAAAAGAAGATCTAAAAGTGAAGACACTAGAGGCCTTGGTGCCCCCCCAAAAAGAAAAAGATATTTTCAGAGGCAGGTGCTTTAATAACTCTGATCTCATTAAAATCTTACAATCACTCTATGAGTTCAGAATGATTATTCAAATTTTATTCAAGAGAAAATGAAGCTCACAGAGGATAAATGATCTGTCCAAGGTCTGGGGCTCAGCTCAGATGCATAAAAGGCAGTGAATTCATCTCCTCATCCCCCGGGAGAGACCACACTCAAGTCTGACCCATCATTCCTCTGTCAGAAACCTTTGGGAACTTAACACTAAAGGCTCAAATAACCAAGATTCTCCATGATCTGCTCCTGACCCACCTCTTGTATCTCTCGACAAATTCCTTGCACCTTTCTCTGTTTCTCGCCTCTGAGGTTTTACTACTGCCATCTCCTGTGGGTGAAATCTTTCCAGGCAGGCCCTGGCTAAGTCGTCCGCATTCTCAGTTCAACCCTGAGCTCCCCCAGGAAGCCCCTCCTAGAGTCCTCAGGTGGGTCAGGTGACCGGCCCCTCTGTCCTCACACACTTCAATCCCCACACCCTTTGCCAGAATGATCTGGTGTGTCTCCTTCACTAGACTCCAAGCACCAGGAAAGGGGACCAAGTCTTAGCCACCTCGATCTACAAAGTCAGCAACATAACAAGAACTCACCATTAGGTGTTTATCTGTTGGGAAGGAATGAAGACAAATGCATGCACTCGTGCTAAGAGCCAGTATGCTCTAGTGATCAAGAATGCAAATTCTAGAACCAGACTGCTCAGTTCAACCCCTGCTCTATGAATTACCCACCATGTGTGATCTCAGGCAAATCACTTTCCCTTGCTGTACCTTGGCCTCTTCACCTTTAAAATAGGCATAAAAATGGAACCTCCCTCGTAGGATTATAGTAAAGTTTAAATAAGTTACTTTACCTAAAGTACTTGGAAAAGTGCCTGGCACACGGTAAGCTCTGCATATGTTAGCTACTATCACTACTGTTTTTATTAACTCTTTCATTCATCAGACAAGACAAGCAACAATAAGAGGACAGTTGTGCTGAGAAGCACAATGAGATGCTAGCTGGGAGGGGAAGAGGGAGGAACCAGGCTAAAATCCTTATCCATCAGACTGAGGCATCAAGAGACACTGTCGAAAGCTGATAGATGGATCAACAGATATTTTAATGGTATACTATTTACAGTAAATGGATGAAAGAATTAAAAACAATAAATAACAAAGACCAGAAGGGAGGAATTGCTGATGTAGGTTTCCTATCTTTCACAGTGGGGCTCAGCAGATAGTCACTGGGGTAAATAAGCCAAGAAATGAAGGCGAGAGCTCACTATTCAGATGTAGAGCGATGTCTATGAGGAGTCCTAAAAACAAGCCATGAAGATGGTTACTCCTGGAGAGAAATGGAGACAAGATGGAACTGAAGACTCTGCTCTATTTACACACTACTGTACTGTTTGAATTTTTTAAATAGTGTGATAAGTGCCCCTCTCCATCTCCCTGCAATCAGTATGGGGAGTAGGGGGGCAAAGATAGTGGTGGTAAAGTTAAAAAAAACTACAACAATGAAACAGAAATAGTTTTGTATCCTTACTCTTCCTTAGAAGAGAGGCTCCCCACCGATTAGAGTCAAGAGTACAGAAGATGTCTCGTGCCATCCAAACGGAACATTCTGTACTTTGGGGATGGAGCTTACTGGCCACACCAATGGTAGCGGGGCTCTCCATCTAAGAAAAGCCACAGTGAAACTGGGACGGGTGAACCACTTGAGCACACAGCACCTAGTCATCTGACACCACACATTCATCTATTTCTTCACTCATTTATTCGTCATGTTTTTATTGGATGCCTACCACGTGTCAGGTTCTGTGCTAGACTCTAGGGAAACAGACAAGTATGACTGGGTTACCCCTTCTCACTTACAGGATAAACGGTTTAAAACCTTTGACACTCACTCGGTTTTCTTAAACTATTCCTACCAGCCCTAAAGGTGTTGCGTGAGAAGCGGAACGGAGGTCCTCAGCCTATTACTCCCCATTTTCCTTCCCGACAGTGTCCCGAGTGGGAGAGGACTATAGGTGCAGTGTCTGACCCAGTCACCAGTCAACAACAACAAAGGTGATCCGACAGGAGGGTTGCGGGAGCAAGGCATTCACACGCGGGGGCTGGCATCTCCCTGGCAAAGAGGTGTCTGGCTGGGATCAGGTAGCAACGGGCCGGCTGTGAAACCTTATGCAGTCACTGTACCTCTCTCCAAACTCTCAAATGGGGATTTGCAGAGAATCCTGCCACGCCCCCCCTTCTTTTGTTCTGAACCCACCCGGAATCCTGCCCCAGAGGGAAAGCCCCTCGATTCTCCCCAGCCGCCTCTCTCCCAACCTCTAACTCCTAGCTGGTCGCAATTTCAGATTCTCAAGTCCAGGCTCTGCACTCACCCCATTCGGGAGGTTCTTCACGATCAGTCGCGACATGGCGCACGGTCCCACTGGCTTGATTCCAACACAAATGAACAGCGACTCCCACTAACCACTTTCACGCTAGACCTCTGGGCGCCGCCATCTTTGGCGAACCGGAACGAAGTCACGTGCTCCTGACGTAGCCCGCCCCTCCGGAAATAGGCGTGGCCAAAGAGCTACCCACGGAAGTCACACCCTCCAAGGGGCGGGTCTGCGCGTTTGCATTCTGCGCAGGCGCAGACTGTTCTGCCGTGGCCCGGGAGACCAACGCGGTGGCCAAGTTGCCAGGGGGCGCTGGTTCCTAACACTGATGGGAGGTTGCGTGTGGTGGGCCTAGTGTTTGAGCGCTGCTTAGGCGTGGAAATCATTTTAGCCCCCTTCTGCTATTTTATTCCGTTATTGAGTTCTGAAACAGCCCTGCGAATGGGGGCCGGATTGGGGAATCTTGTCTCTCTTTTAGAGACTAGGCAACTGAGGCTCAGAGAGGCTGCCGTGCTCCGTGAATCAATTACTGAATATCCCCTATAAATTTTAGAATGTGCCATTTGGAAACAAACATCCCATTTGCAGGCCGGTAAACTGGGAACCAGGTAAGTCAACTGGGAACCGCTTGCTCAAAATCGCATAGCTATTAAATATTAAGTAGCATTAAGTGATGGATATGGACAGACTACCACCTGCCAGTAGTGGCTCTAAAGCCATCAGCCACTGCAGCTGCCCTCTAAAGGTACACCTTACGGGGAATTTAGGATGGAGAAAACCAGGGTACTGGCCCTAGGTCGCTAAAATGCATATTAAAGGGATAATGTCAACGAGCCATACGGAGAAAAACACTAAAATCATTAACTTGAGATATCTGTTTTTGTGATTAGCAGTAATCTTGTGGTTATTTTTCCAGCAAAAACTATATATCCTGACTCCTCCCTTACCTCTTTGTCCCTCAGAGCAACCTGAGAAGCTGTATCCTCCTGGACTTACGTCCTCAGTAAGTCTGCTGAATAAAACAATTCTCATCTTTTAGGTTGTGCTTTTTTTCCCCATCAATATAGGGCGATGGGGTGTATTGGTTTCCTACCACCTAGCACAAATTACCAGAGACTTAATGCCTTAGAACAATAGAAATGTGTTCTCTCACAGTTCTGGAGGCCAGAAATCCGAAACCAAGATGTCAGTAGGGCTGAGCGGCCCCAGAAGTCTCTACGGGAGGATCCTTCCTGCTTCTTCTGGTGGTTCCGGAGGAACCTGGGCCTTGTGGCTGCATTGCTCCAATCTCTGCCCCCATCTCCACATGGACTTCTCCCTCCGGTGTCTGAATGTCATCTATAGCCCTCTCCTGTCTTTTATTAGGGAGTCTGCTGTTGGGTCTAGGGCCCATCTTAAGTCCAGGATGTTCTCATCTCAAGACCCTTAACTTGGTGTCTATAAAGACCCTTTTCCAAAGAAGATCATCACGTTCACAGGGTCCGGGGAGTAGCTGTGGGCATCTCTTCAACCCACTGCTTGAGGATTTACTTGCCCAGTAGCAGGTTACTCTGAAGATCAGAGCTCACCCTCCCCACATCTTATGCAGGCTGTCTATTCGAAGAAGACCCACATACCCGTGTAAAAATGTGCCCTGGGGCCTAGAGTGGGCGCCAAGAGGTCACTGTGTTTCAAAGCCATTCATTTATTCAGCAGATACATATTGATACATATGAAAGTGCTCTTTAATTAAATGACAATTAGGGGGTTGTTTTCTGCACACGGCGCCCCTGGTCAGGACAGGCTGGAGCAGGCTTTATGAGGCAGCTCAGAGATATTAGCCTTTTATGAGGGGGCAAGTGTGGGTCGCCGTTGCCAGTCCTGGTTTCATGCACTTTTGCTTTATTATTTTCATGAACTGCCTTTATTAAAACGCACAACGAAACGTAGCCTTCCCTAAAGAAATTCACAAATCAGAAGGCCTTTCAAAGGTATTAAAAGAAAAGGAATGCTCTTGGCCAATCGCACGTCCCAGCTTAACCCTGGGCCGGGAAAATATGGTCGCCACATGTCGTGGTGGAGAAAGGAGGAACCGTTCCTGAGCTCTGTATCCCCCTGCATTTAATAAACAGCCACCTTGTAACATTGTTATTAGTCTTCCTGGCTCTCCTGCCTTCCCGTTTTGTCTTCTGCTTCTATGGCTCTCCCAGCAAATATAATCCAGAGTCACCTGGACGCCACCAGGCTGGCCTCTCCGATGACACCCGGGGATTAAAAAAAAAAAAGCAGGTAAATTTAAAAATGGCTCCAATCAATCACAGCGACCTTCACAAGTGTACGCAGGGCAGCGAGAAGTCTGCCTGGACCCTGCGGTAATTAATCTCCCACCAGGGAAAGGCTAGAGGTGGGGAGAGGCCTTGGAAGGGCTGGAGAACATAGGAGAGAAAATCGGATTTCTGAGTTCTTCCACGGAAAGAGGAGCTGATTATAAGAAAACATCAGACAAGTGCCCGTGGGGGGCATCCTCATGGTTGCCAAGGTCACCAAAACCAGAGCCACCTGGGAAACGGTCATAGCCAGGAGGAGCCTACAGAGACAGGACGAGATTCTGGAAAAGCAGAAGGACATCGGGGGAAAGCGAGGAAATCCAGACAAAGCCTGGACTTCCGTTAGTAACCATATATCCACATGGGAGCATTCGTGTGACAAAGATACCAGAGTCATGCTAAGAACAGGAGAACGTGGGTGCGGGGTACAAGGGAGCTCTGTCTTACTGCTGTTCTGCAAATCGAGCACTATTCTCAAATAGCGTTCATTAAATATCTCTTTAAAAGATATCTCGACCATGAAAAGAGAAGGATTCAGGAGATCAGTGTCTATAGATGGGGAAGAATCACCAAGACATGTTACAAAGACAAAAAGTGCAGTGCAGGAAGAGGCTGCCTTCAGTGTAGAAAAAATGAAGGCGGGTGGGGGGTTTCTCCAGACACAGCTGCTTCTGCATGCAGGGCAGCAGACTGGGTCCTGGGCCCAAGCTGGCCTGTTACCAGTTTTGTCGTGGTCTCACAGCTATGAAGGGTCTCCACATGTTTAAGGGGTTGAAAAACAACACATCAAAAGAAAGGTGATGTTGTGTGACTCATGAGAGTGATGTGAAATTCAAATTTCCGTGTCCATCAAGAAAACTGTGTGGGGACCAAGCCACACAGAGTCATGTATGTCTTGCGTGTGTCTTGTTTGTGTCGCGACAGCAGAGGTGAGTGGGTGTGACAAAGGCCATGTGTCTGCAAAACTGAATCTTTTTACAGCCTGGTTCTTTATAGGAAATGTTTGCTGATCCCATGCTTGGCTATCTCTAGGGGAACAGATGAGAAAGTGGTAACTATGATTTCCTCCAGGAAGGAGGACAGGATGGCTGGGGGAAGTGAGGTAATTGTTGCTGGGTGCGTTTGATCCATTGAAAAAAAATCTATTTCATTTACCAGCAGCAATATTGCGGAGGAAGCTGGGCTCTCTGGGGCCCATGTGTTGGGGGCTTGAGACATTTTAAGTAGAAAGGGTAGTGCCCAAAGGCATTTTAGGCATCAGTTATTTGAATGTGTAGAAGGGCTTTCCAAAGGTGGCGCTCTGGTCATGGTGGGTCAATGTGCTATCAGGGAAGGCTTCCTAGAGGCAGTGAGCCTTGAAAGCTGGCCATTGACCTGTTCAGTGGGTTATGCAGAGATGGGGGTTAAGGCAATTGTGTGATTAAGCTGGGGAGGAAGGGCTGGAACTGCACATGTTGTTGTGCATGGTCCCTGATCCATATGGCGACAATGTTGTAAACTAGCTGTTACCCATGTTTGTTAATAGAAGTGTAAATGTCACGCAGCCACAATTCCAACCCAGCAGTGATGGAGCGAGTGCAAGGATGACCCCCCATTGTTTCCTCCCTTTATCCACATCCTTGAGATTTGCCGGTCTTCCCACCGGGACCGGCTAGGGGGACTTGTTTTGAGCAGCAGAACGAGGCAGAAGCAGCAGCACCAGCTCTGAGCCCAGGCCCCCCTGGGCCCACGTGCTGCCAGGCTCTCTGTGGGCCCTGTGCACCCTGAGAACCTGGAGGTCAACCTGGAGGAGGAGAGACACACGGCCTGGCCACTCCTCTGCCCCCAGTGACAGCTCCCCGACCACCAGACGTGTGGTGAGGCCGTCCTAGACCAGCCAGCCCCCTGCTCCTCGGCTAGCTGAGCACTGACATCTCAAGCATCGCTTGAGATCTGCTGCCCCAGGCCCAAGGGTGGAGCAGAGCCCCCCAGTGACTGACGGTGAATTTTACGTGTCAGCTGGACAGGGACATGGGGTGCCCCCATATTTGGTGAAACATTGTGCTGGGTGCATCTCTGAGGGCGTCTCTGGATGAAATGGACATTTGAATTGGTGGACAGAGGTAAGCAGATGCGAGGGGCTGGGGTTCTGAGCTAATCCATAGGAGGCCTGAATAGGACAACAGGTGGAGGACAGGGGAATTCTCTCTCTCTCTCTACTTGCCTTTAGCTGGGACATCTGTCTTCTCCTGCCTTTAGACAAGAATTGGAACTTATCTATCATCTCTCCTGGGTCTCCAGTTTCTCAGCTGCAGATTTGGGGACTTCTCAGCCTCTCTAACTCTGTGAACCAATTCCTTATAATAAATCTCTCTCTCTCTCCCCTCCCCACTATCTGTCTCCTATTGGTTCTATTTCTCTGGAGAACCCAGACTAATTCACTGACCTACAGACTCATGAGTCATCATAGATGCTAATCATTTAAGCTACTGAGTTTAGGGTACTCTGTTACGCAGCAGCAGCTAACGGATACGCCATATCTGCCTGTCTAGAAAGCCTCTAACCTTGGAGGTGTCCCATCGCCTGCCATTGGTTCTCTGTTAACCTAATTCTCACAGGACAGGGGTTTCCTCTGTTTCTTCAAACAGCCTGGAGACCAGAAACAGCCTGGTCTGGCCTGGGGATGGGGGCCAGGCATGGCAGGCAGTAGGAGGAAGATCTGTGAAACCCCAAGGCTCAGCCAGAAGGTGGCCCTGGGCTCAAATCCTGGCTCGCCACCTACAGTCTCGATGATCCCTGGTGAACTGCTTATTTCTGAGCTAACAGGCTCTTTTCCAGAAAATTGAGTAGGGGAGGGCCCAGCTCT